TCTATCTCCCGCTACCCGAAAAGCTCGTGTGTACCAGGATACTTCTTGCGGGTGTTAGTGGGTGCACCCTCTGCACTCCCGGCCGCCCCCGCGCATCGCGTTTGCACCCAACTACCGCCACCCCCGGCGCCCGCCGTGCCGCGCCGTCCGGCACCCTCTCCTCTTCTCGCGTGATAGCGTACGGCGTACACGTTCTCCGCGTCCTACAATATCTCTGTCTGGCCACGGATCTTCCGTCTTCTGCCCGCTCGAAATCGCACACCTACTCCACTCACACACCCTTTCGCTCTATCGTCTCTCTGTTTCTCGGACCCTCGGTGCCGCGTTTTGTCTCCTCGTTCCCGGACACGTGACCATCCGTCTCTCTTTCTCGTCCTTCCACAGGATTCTCTCTTCTAGACCTTCACTCTTTCTCTCTCTCTCTTTCTATCTCTCTCTCTCTCTCACTTCCATCGTCGACGGAATTCAAGTAGTCGATATTGTCCTGCGGCCTGTCTCGAAATTAAGAGAAAACGACGGACTCGGACCGTGCTCGCCACCCCCTCGCGCTCCACCACTACCGAACGGGGGCTCCAATCTTTTTTTCTCGCTCCCTTTTACTCTTCGAACCCTTTCTCCGGCTATTTCTCTTCCCTCATCTTTTTTCTTCTACTCCTTTTTTTATCAAGTCTTTTTGTAACAGCATCATTTGGGAGTAGTATTGCCACGAATTCCTTTTTTATCAAGTTTCCCTGTTACCGTGCCATTAGGAATTATTACTTCGCGTTTGTTACCACTGGTCAACGAATTTTGTTTCGGCTAGAACCGAAAGTTCATCGCACGTACTTCTGATCGCGCCAGTACGTAAAAGGACCTCTGCCTAACGCTATTGAAATATATAATGCGGTACGAGTCGCAATGTCCAAACTTTTAATCGCGTCGTTGGAAGACCTCGAAACTCTTAATTTTCTTTAACGCGAAATCACCTTGCGTCACGCGATTTCAGATAATATACAATGTCGTTTCAAGGCGAGTGAATTGATTAACGTTTTAATTACACATCAAGGATTAACTTGAATTATTTAAAAATCGTCAAATTCTGTACGACCTTCTTTAACAATAAATCTACCAACAGTTGTTATTTTTTGCACTTAAGTGCAATTTAGTATTGGCACTGTTACCTTAGTTTGCTAATATAAATAATAATTGTAACTTTGACAATATGAAAAAATAAATGTCGTTTTCTTTTTATTTTTTATAGAACTTAAAAAGGGTCGTTTGGACCGTCGACGGTAGGTTCGGTGTTAAATACATTCTATGCAAATGGATTCCATAAAACATTTTGTACTTCGAAACGCGTCTGTTTCATATTTGTAAATGGCGAGCATCGGACTACGAATCACGGGTTTTACGGTTGATACGATCGATTTAAACAGCACGAACGGTTTTTTCCCGCATGTCCAATGCGAATCTTAGAGTTCCTGACTACGAAGCAGCTCTTTTCTATTTCACGCGGTGCACCGGACTATAAATTATGCCGTGGATAGTCCACGGACTACGAATCCTCTTTTTCCTACCAGCGAGACACTCTTGACTACAAAGTGCCCCTTATTTACGTACCGTCTCTTCGACTGTGAATTACGTTGCCACCAAACTCCAAAGCTAACGCGGATCTACAATTATTCTACTCTCCCTGCACTATTTATTTATCTCAAACGCTTTATTCAAAGTGCATTCGTCAGAATTTTATTTATAAATTATCCTGGTACAAGTAAATGCCCTAATTTTTATTCAACTCACAATTTCTACTTACCAACTTTCTTTCTGTTTTTTAATTCAGGACATAGAAATTCTGATGCGAACAGAAATCAGAGT